TACTTGAGCATATATTTAACCTTAGGTAGGTGCCTCAGTCCTGCAGATTTTCATAAATTCTAAGATTTGTTTTAAACATAAGTCTTCTAATTGTCGTTGCTTTCCTCAAGTAACTTTATAAATCCGAATGTCTGAGCTTCAATTCCAATTCCACTCCTGGCGGAGACTGGAGTTCGTCTTACGCCTGCCAGTGTTATCTAGTGTTTGAGGGATGCCTCCCAGTGGAGGCATCTGAAAGCAGAGCATGATGCTTTTTTTTCCCAGCTATGAAAGATAAAGGCTCTTCTATAATGATGAAGCTTCTTCCATAAATTATAGTAAACCACTAAATCTTTTTCTTTTTACTTTTTTCTTTCTTTCAGAGAAAAAACATCTGCATATTGCGATTGTTAGCATAGTTTTTGACACAGAACAAAGCTTACGATGATTTTATGCAGAGATAAGAGGGCTGTGTGGTATAAAAGTTTGTCTATATTTCTTCTTAAGAAAGTCTATGTGCATCAGCATTGGAGAAAGCAATTTCCTTTCCATGCCTCAGCAGGGTGGTGCTTGATGATGAATGGATTTCCCAAAATGATTAAAAGCCAGTGTTTGAAAAGCACTTCCCTATCTTTGCATGAACAAGGATGCAAATTTAAGAGTACTGACAATGATGGTTTTGAAATCCTGACAGCTATTGTAGGCAAACAGCATTAAACAGCGAGTGGGACCATCAGTCAGGTAAGAGTGTAATTTGGGAAGATTTTTTCAGATGCTACCATCCTGTAGTTCTTCTCTTGGCAAAACCACTCATAGCAGACAAAGCAGAGTTTGTATATTAGAGCTGTTGACTGAGAGTCAGATCTGACCCTGTGCAGGCCAATCCCACAGATGGTGACAGCCGGGCACGGCTCTTCCCAGTAACCCCAGCTGGAAAATGACTCAGCACATGTCACATGTACACCCAAACACAGGCTTTAATTGTGCTGACTTTGCAATCCATGGCACAATACCTACCATTTCAAAAGCTCACATTCCTCCATTTTTGTTGGATTTATTCCTGGTTAAACTTCTGCTTCGCCTTTTATCTCCTCATTATCCTTTATATTTTTATGAGGACAATGGACGTCATTTTGTATCATCATTACTATTTCTCTCAAAAAGACGGAAATGTCTTCTCCCCTTTACACTGCGGGAAACCGACATAGCTATACAAACCTAGAGCCAAAATAATCATATGCTGATTAACAGAGAACAAAATTCCAATCTGGATTTTTCCCCCCCAAATGGGAAAAGTTCCAGCAATCAAGGGTAGGCAAAGAACATGTCATGAATTATAGATGTGAAGTGCTAACAAACTGTTAGCTATAATGTTAAATAACATGCTATAATGTTAAATACATAAGATATTAACATAAGTTTTATTTGAAAGTTATATGCCAGTGCCATGATTTTTAATATGGGTATGGTAAGATACGAAGTGATTAGAAATTTAAATATTTTATAACTTTAAAACAGATATGTAGTGAAACCCATTTTCTCTTTGGTGGTGTGTTTAAGACTAATTTTTGTGTAATTAAAAATGCAGGAGTTTTTGATAAGCAGTGGTAACGTAGAAACCATATCCAGAAGCTCTAACGGGTGGAGTCCTTTGACTTTACAGATGCGAGTAAATCATTGTAGTTCAGCATCAATCCAAATCTGTCTCCAAATTCACTCTTAGGCTCAATACCCATAGGACATATGTCTGCCTTATACATTCAGGACGATACAGTTACTGATGGGCATATGCAAACTTTACAACAACTTGGCTCCTAAATCACTGATACGTTCAATATTGCACAATAACATTCACCTAATGTTCAGGTACATCCCCATGAGATGTGGAACCTGCACTCACAGAGGGCCATTTGAGAGCTACAAACACAGATGCCAGTAGCAGAACAGGGTAGCTCTTTGTTGGGAAGTAATTCTTGAGACATAGAATGTAGTTTTTCCATATAGATAAAAATATGGAAACTGCTGAATGCACTCTTCATTTTTTGATGATCAAGGGTGGAGGAATGACTTTATGGAAGATATTTGCTAACTAAGCATATTTTGCTGACTGTATACAGAAGTGAGTGGGTGAAATTCTGGGGATTTTTTGTTGTTCTACTGTGGTGTGTTTATTTTTTTTTCTTTCCTTTTTGTTTTTTTTTAATGCAGGCGTTAGATGAGATGATCTAATGGTCCCTTCTGGCCCTAAGGCAAAGTGCAGCCTCCACTTGACAATATTCCTGGAGCTCTCTAAACCCTTTTTAACAGGCCTTTGGGGAAGGAGGTTTCTAATGGGGAAGAATTTTATAGAGCAGAAAAGTGTTCGCCAGCAGAAATATTTGCTGTTAGCAGTTGATTGTTTTGGGGAGGAGGGAAGGTTTGCCTAGGTTTCCATTTGAAATATCTTTTAAATCTTCATTAAAGGTGCCTGTGGCAATATTCAGGCATGTCTTTGTATATTTTTCCCTTGGAAAAAAATACCTTTGTTTTGTTTTGTTTTGAGGACAGAGAGACAAGAGTTTGCATATTGTTTTATGGCAGAGGTAAATTCAGTCTTGTATTTGTGTGTTTCAGGGAAAAAAATAAGGCAATATGCCTCACATCTGTCTCGTCACCTTTCTCTGAAACAATGCTTTCCATCTTTCCTAAATACACCCATCTCCTCAGCAAACTGTCAGAGACTTAGAGAACCAGGGCTATACTTTTGTTAGCTCTGGTTCACCTCAGAGGACTGTGGGCTGCTCACTTTGGGAAATCATGGCCAGTTTTAAAAAGCAGACCTAGAAACATTATTGGAAGTAACACAATAACATTTATAAAAGTAGCAGCACAATGTAATGATGTGATTTGTAACCTGGTGAGTCATCAAATGTACAACCTGCCAACAACCAAGGTATTAGACAGTCCATTGTACAGGTTATACACAACCACCAGCTTGCTCTCTGTCTGCAAAACAACCTGGAGAAGTTTTGGTGGGTTGGTCAGTTTTTTCTTCATTTTCTTCCATGAAATGAGACCCATCCCACAAATGTCCAGTTTTATTCTTCTACAGCCAGAATAAATAGGAATTATGGCAGCAACTCCATGGCAGATAGAATCTATCCACAACACAGAATGGAAACAGCTCAGGCAATCAGGATATCCTCAAAGATCAATATAGCTCCTGTGCTGCAAAGCTGTCCCATCACTTGTACAGTGATTTGTAGAGCTGGGATCTCTCTGATCATTGACCAAATGAGTGCATCCTCTTTCCATTATATTTTCTATCTAATGTGTAACTCTTTCATATAAAAACATTGTTGAATCCCTTAAATTTCAATTGTGCAGCTGTAGAGTACTGCTTTAGTGCTGCAGACAAACAGTATTGCTATCTTCCTGGATAATGCCACTCCTTATTTCCATACAACTTGACTTCTTGACAATATTAGATGAAGTCCCTCCACATTTTGTTATAGCTTTTTTTTTTTTGAGTGCTATCTGGCATGTCCAGTCAACTTCCATATGGAGATTTTTAATTGGGAAGAAGGAGGTGGCAAATATTTCCTTTTAATTGCAGAATAAAAATAGCAATTTTGGGGGGGCTAAGTCCAAAGAATAGTGGCAGAAGAACAGAACAATGAAATGCTCCCCACGTGCTCTCATGGTACAGACAAGTCAATCCATCATGAGTGCACAGCCTTGCATCTGGGAGATCCAGATGATACACATGGGGTTTTCCTGTATCAGCAGTAGTGTCTTTATTGTTGCCTTTTAAAAGCTCTTTTCTAGCAAGGCCGAGGGCATGGTTGAAATGCTTTTTATTGCACTTGCTCTGCCTCAATCAATCTTCATGTGTGATACAAGGCCAACCTGGTCTTGGGCTCTTTATCTGCCCTTTCTGCTTGCACTTGTTAAGAATTGTTAAGAACGCATTTACTGACCTAAGAGCTAACAATTTCTTTTATGTGAGCCATATCCATCTACCACATAGTGAAGAGAACACCTTTTAATTGTGATTCTAATTACTCAATGCAAAAATATTTGCTTTAACTGACTAATTCCCAGTCAAACCTTCATCTTGCTATGTTTATGGCTGTGTATTTCTAATGTACATTCCAGTGGATTATTTTGCAAGCCCTCCCATGGGTGTGTTGAGCATCCAAGCATCCTTGCAAAGAGTTACTGCAGATGTATAGCTATAATTCAGGTGAATCATCATTCCCCTTGTTAAAGTTTTACAACAAAATATTTGGCTAAATGCAAATGGGAGAGGTCTATTTGGGGATCAGATTAAAAGCAACCTAGGTTTGTCATGCAAGGAATAAAATTGCCTTGGACATACAGTTTATTTAGATTTAATAAGTCCACAGATGGGCAGTATCTTTAAAAATTAAGGGCTCTTCTACTGTCAAAATATCAGGGTCTGATTCACTATCAATATGTTATCAACACAAGACCCTCGTAAAGGATTTCTGGAGTAAAAAGCTGTTTTCTGTATCACCATAGCCCAGCACAGAGTAGCATGTGAAGCATGTTAATAGGATGTTCTGCCTAAGTTTCCACTGTTCACTTTCCTTGTTTTGCAGATGAATGCAAAGTTTCAACATTCAGAATAGTCCTTCTGGCAAACATTATGAATATTAAATATTCATGTATGAAATCTGTTCAGATCCAACCTTGGAATCAGTTTGAGTTTGTTTATGATCAATTAAAATGCCATATAAATTTCAGATTCTGCCATCTGAGTAGCCTGAATGCAGAGAATGAAGGACAATATCCTGTACTTCTAATTTAATTTTCCCATCAGTGTTTGTTTGAACTCTATCTGTGGGTCAGAACAGTGGACGTCTGTGAAAATATTTTCTGCTTATGCCAGCCAGGACTGTGTGCATAATTCCAGTTAAAATTTCAGCAACAGTTTATAGTCACTTAAGCTGACTTTTCCCACATAGAAAATAACACTTTCAGATTGAAAACTTTATTGATGAGATATATGTGTCACTTGCCTGTGGCAGCGCTTTAGTTTTATGCAAACTGGACCTCCCTCTGGCTCAAGATCTTGACTGGAGTTGGAGGAATCTTATAATCTTCAGAAAATGAAATTTTGTTGAACTTGGAACAGTCCCATGAGCATCAGAGATTTGCTGTGCACACAGAGAAAACAGAAGATAAGTAAATGGCAGAACAATGTAGTGAGTCAACCTGCAGAAAGAAGGTAAAACATGTGGAAGAAGGCAGCAGCAGGTAGAGGACGTGGTTCCCCTTTGGGTCAGCTGGATGTGTTTTTCCATTCACTTTTAAATTTTATCTCTCAGTTCAAGTATCATCAGCCTTAAACTTATGAGTGACAGGGAGAAAAGAGGTGAAAGGGGCACTTCCATGCTTCTCAGCTTGGAAAAACAAAGTGGGAATGTCTGCCAAAGAAATCTGGACACTTAAGATTTTCTTGAAAGATCCAAACATTGTTATTTCCTCTGATTTTGTATGCAGTATCTGAAAGAGATTGACTTGTAAGTGTTCCCATGGTCTTTGCATACACAAAGAAGAATGAGACCTTTTCAATGGCACTTATTTTAGACTGATGGAAGGAATAAAAAGCTAGGCAGCTTCCAAGAGGGTGTCTCCTCTGTGTGACCCTGAACATAGTTTGAGAACAGTCTGGCTGCTCCCTCTGAGCACAGACACAGCTCCTGGAAACTGAAAAAATGCTTACTATGAGCAGTAGACAGACATTGCTGTCTGCCTCTGTGGGCAAGATCATGCAGCAAAATTCAGATATTAACATGGAAATGTCCTCAAAACAGGGACCTCTGGAGCAGGCATTTTGGTTTGGATCACTAAGAGAGAGGCCAACTGGAGAAACAGGCCCATTTGCAAAAGCTGGATGCATAGTCAGATTGCAGGCACCTTTAACACCCAAAAGATACTCAGAAATGGGCAACCATTTAGGTCCTTAGAAATGCAGCATCAAGTAGTTTTAAATTTTAATACCAGTACTTTATACAGAATAAATGTGAAATAAACTCAGATAACCCCCATTACAAAAGAGGAAACTGATTCCTTTCCCACGCTGTGTCTCATACCAAGACCACTTTGAGCACTGACCATTTCAAACCTGCATTGCAGTCATTTGTAAACAGCTTCAGTAACAGGGCCAGTTTGCTCAGTCTGCATTTGACATCACTTCAGTGTTTTGCGTAACAATCAGTAGCACCTTAGGTAAATATTCTATCCAATCACTTTCTGAAATTATGTAACTTTTTGGTTCCCTCATAAATTAGACAGAAACTAACAGAAATTTAATACAACTGTTGTAAATCTCTTCTTACTGAAACAGTAACATCCAGAGCAACCAGAAGACTTAGACAATCCTCCAGATATAGGCTTGGTATGAAGATCATGGTAGTTTTAACTTTGGCCGTAACAGAGCAGAATATGAAGAAAATGTATCATGTGTAAGAGAAAACCAAGAATATTTAAACTGGTCATTGCCCAGCTTGCTTTTCCTTCCATTAGAGAGAAGCTTTTTCATGGCTAAAATCCTATTTCCAAATTATCCAGGTATGTTCAGACCATTTCTACAACATCAGTTTACTGGGCCTCTTGTGACAGTTTCGCTCTTCCCATGATGGGTGTTGGGATTAGATGATCTTTAAGGTCCCTTTCAACACTTAACATTCTATTGATTCTGTGTTGCTGAACTATGGAGCTTTTCACAGTCATTATTTTCTTCAGGATGGAAACTGGAGAGTGATGGAATGAAGAGGAGAAAGGAAATGATACCACCTCAGAAGGAAAGACAGGAAATCTGAAGTTGGTTTTGGAAGCAAAAGTATAAAAACCCCAGAATCTAAACGTTACATTTTGGCAGTATCAAAACAAAATTATCTTGACAGCAGACTGGGAGGTGTTTGGCTCTGTTTGCATTCTTAAACTTCTACATATATTTGAAGTCCAGGAATAATGAAATCTGAAAGACTGAGTTTTCAAGTTGTAAGAAGGAGCCTTGAAGCTGTCCAGATTCTGAAAAAGATAGCTCAAGACCTTACTTGCTTTACCTTTAACATGCTTTTCCCCAAAGCTATTCAGATAGTGAATGTGCTCCAAAGCTGTGACTCAGGAAATGAGGGCTCCCAAGTAGTTTTTCTCCCCGGACATATCCAGACAAAATCCAGGTTTAGCACCAGAGCAGGGATCTATTAGAAGTGTGTTAGTGTAATGATGGATCCCTCTGAGGGATTCAGATGACAGCTATGATGACATTAGCTCTTCCCAATCAGTTTTCCTCTGCCTCTGTTCAGATAAACAACATGAAAGCTGACAACCACATTCCATGACCATTACTTACGGTACAGTTTGGTGACTTCAGCTACAAACATTTCCTCCTATTTTTCTCATTGTTGTAATCATTGCATGACCAAATAGCTGCAAATATTCACTATCGCAATTGTTTTAACTATCTGTTTTATGTGAGCCAACCTATCTGCTTCTAATTTCTTTTTGCCTTCAAAACAAGTTTATGTAACAGGCTAAAATGGATTTTTGTAATTTCCAACAACTCCAGACACCCAATCTAGACTTCTATGGATCTCAATCACTTGTAGATACTAATCGGATAATATCTCTGGATGAAATTTTGTCATGACTGCGTTGTGTCAGGCCAAGCTGCATAAATGGAGGGGCTGCAGAGCAATACTTGGCAGAAAAAAACCCCCAGTATATTGAAGACTTACGACTGTTTGGTTCAGTATGCTAGGACAGAAATCCAAACGGAAAAAGGGTGGCATTAATACTCTTGGATTTGGAAGGGTACACATGACTTCGGTTAATTTCATTCATCAGCATTTCTGATTGTCTAATTACAAGCTCTGCAGAATTGCAGATACAGCTTTAAAATTCATTTAAAAGCAGTAAAATGCAGCTGAATGGCAGCATGTTTGCTGAGGGGTACATTTCTGCCAAAAAGGAGGGAGAAGCAGCCATGTCATTTATACCAGCTGTCATCTTTCTAAAGCTACCAAATTCACTTTCCACTTACAAAAGTAACCTATTTTCATTCCTTCAGCCCTTTAAAATATTAAGAGCCAGCATAGTTGTCTTTTTTCCCCTTACTCTGTCCTTTCTAGTTTTTGTACTTTCCTTATTACTCTATATGCCACTTAACACAGTCTTTTCTGTACCATTTTCCCAGCTACTGAATGCAGGACTTTGTAAGAAGTTCTTAAAACAATTGTCCTGGGTAAATTGAATTACAGATTTAAAAGCAAAACAAAACCATATCTCAAGAGTTCTTTATCTCTACAATCTTCGGAAGCGTTTCAGGACAATGTCCAAGATATGCAATGCAGTTAAGATACTGTGTTCTGGAATTGGCGCAGTTGAGATTAATCCTCTTCAATGCTTTGACTCAATGATAAATATTTCTAATGGCTGTGTTTGTTGCAAACTTGAGGCTCCTTCTATTTGGACATGAATTGCTATTAGACTGTTTAAAGCCTTGGATTAACCTTCAAGCAATCAAATCCTTAACTCTTTTGATTGTGAAGAACTAACTTTCCCACTAACAAGTAAGTATATTTGGCTCTTGGCTAGTTCTTAGATATATTTTACATTTTGCAAACGCAGAAAGAGAGACAAAGAAGTTTGGGCAAGGTTCACAGTCAGTAAGTAGCTGCAGTGATAACAACTCCAGGAAAGCCTTGCTCCCTGCTCACACACAGCTAGAGAACGTTTGCATGTTCTTGTTTCGGTCTGAAACAAAAAGACATGAAGAGACCAACCAACTATGGGGAGCAAGAGCTTGTAGGAAATTGCATGTTTTAATTTAGTCCACCAATATTCTGCAAGTAAAATTTTTGATAGTTTATGTGCCTACATTTTCAAACATAAAAAAAATACACCAGTTATGCCCAGAACTAACTGACACAACCAAAATGTAACATTTATTTTCCTTAAATAAACAAAGCTTATTTTTCTCATTCTTTCTTTCTTTTTTTCTATATGGTTCTGTACCTGTAAAAAGAACTACATGATGAATGGTATCAAGTTACATGATGAAAGGGTGTTCAGCTGCAATGAATACATCTGCCTTTTGATAATGAAAGAAGAAACGGTTTTCAGTTCTTTGCAAAGCAGATGCAAAAGTGTTTGATATTGAAACTGCAGATAGAGCAGGAAGAAACAGTAGATTTTTTTAGAGGTAATGTTTTCCCCGTTTAAGGCAAGATAAATTTTTATTAAATTTTGAAATCTAAACTGGACATGTAAGTCTTTGGGGTACAGACACCAATACTAAGGCTGTCAGTAAATGTATCTCACTAGAGTTTTGGAGAGATTCCTTATAATGCAAGTACTTGGAATAACATCTTACCACTGTGATCCGAAGCATAGACCTGTTTACATAAGTGAGTTGATCAGAGAGAGTTTCTGGCCAAACAAATGTTCAAGAAGATTAATGATGAACACATGTTGTATTTTGTTATCTAAAACAACACCCAAATTCTCAACTGAAATCTAGGTTATGTGATGACATAGAGTGTTGGTTATGGGTATTTCCTGTTTTTGGAGTGTTAACCGACTGTGTTCATTTTCGTTGCTCTTTGGAGACAGCAGTCGTGGGTTTTGTAGGAGAATTTCACTCAATCACCAGGGGAAGGGTGAATTTCCCTTCCTGCTGTAGGACAAAGAGATGTAGACTTGAGAGGTGCCCCAAATATGTACATAGAGAACATGTCATTGTTTTGTCCACAAGAAAGACAACAACCAGGAAAAGCAGCTCCTCCCTCAATTAAACCTATTCTACAGTTGTTATGATGCCATTAAAGCTTATGGCATAGCAAGAGCTTTGATATTACCCTGGTTCAACAGAAAACACAGTAACATGCAGCTGGTTCTTGGGTCTAGGCAGTTAAGTATGCCTCCATTCTGCTAAACTGGTCAACAGCCCGGAGGCCTTTTTAGACGTCCCGGTGCTACTGGATAATTAAATAGCATTGATGCAGAAAGAGCCCATGCAACAGACCAGGATTGTTTATCTATGTATTAAAAAGAAACTCAAGCCATTACATCAAGGAAGCTGAAGAAAGCTACAGCTGGAACAAGCCATTAATATGGAACTAGACATCAGATGGATGTCCTGATAGACAACAAGTTGAACATGAACTAGGGATGTGCTTCTGCAGCGAAGGCAGCCAACGGCTTCTGTGGTTGCATAAGGAAGAGTGTGGGCAGAGAAGGTGATCTTCCCCTCCACTCAGACTGATGAGACCGTATCACTGGATCCAGTGCTTAGCCATGCAAGGGAGTGTGATACCCTGGGGATTCAGTGTCCATATCACCTCTGCACTCACTACAGAAAGTAACTTAAAAAACACATCCTAGCAGAGCATTCAAACTCCTATGTGAGCGATTATCATCCAGATATTTACTCCTCAGTGCATCTTTGACAGCTACTTTATACCTTGAGGCTATCTCTGTCCTATCTCTTAGTAGGGAAATCATGAAAATGCAAGAGCAACAGATAGAAAAGGTTCTGGTGTGTGTACCCATGTAACACAGACTGCAGAGGACTGTCCTGCCTGGCATGAGAATGATCAAACACATCATTGCTGTTGGACCTACAGCCCAAAGTCATGTTCTCTATTTAGCACCTCAAAAACTTTGCCTGCACTGGTTCTGTCCATGGCTGCATTACCTATTTCAAGTTCTAGAGCTGTCAGCATTAGTATTGTTTTTCCATTTTGTGTTGTTTCTCTTCAGTGAAGATTGAAGTAATACTAGCCCTTGGCCCCTAACAGGGACTTTAAACAACTTGACATGCATCAGTTGGTAGCCATCTCCATTTTACAGAGGGAAAACCAAACGCAAAGCATAACCTGGCATGCCTATGGGCTCCAACCCATGACTACAAGTGTTTCTAGGAGCCACAGCTGAACAGGGCCCCCCAGCCTACAGCTCAGTGTAAAAAAAGTAAACAGTGTGATTTGGGGTGGTAGGGGCTAAAAGCTGCCTACACTACTGCAGTTAGGCCTGCCTTTGTCAGAGCAGCATGGGAAATGTATGGTATGGTGGAAAGAGAACCCAGGACTCCCAGTTCCTGGATCTGATCTCCGCTTGATATTTTCTCCAACAATATGCTCTTTCCTTGCCAACAAGTTCTAAATGATTCATTTTGTTACTGGATAGTCATATTTTGTGGGTAGCCACTAGTCAGTTTGAGTTATTCACTCTTACAAAATACTTCCTCTAGAAGGCACTGTAAACAGAATTAATTTTTAAATAGTTTGAGTTGCTTGAAAGCCATGAGCAATGGTTATTAATATTGGCACAGAATAGCTCACATGCTGATGATTCAAGGGATGGAAACTGGAACATTTTGGACAGAGCCGATGTTTTTATATTCACTTGCCTTATATTCAGACACTCAGGTGGTAGAAGTGTTAATTATACCCAAGACAGCAAACTGGGGAAGTTACAGGTACTAATACATGTGGACATGCGGTAAAATAAATATTAAGATAAAGCAAATCATGTATATTCAAGGAATTTAGTTTCCGTTCCTTGGTTACAACATGCGATTTTATCATGCATGTCTTCTGAAAGACAGAGGAGGAGGAAGGAGTTTGTCTTATTGAAGGCAATGGAAAGTATGCTTGATATAGCATGAACAAATATGGACATGAAACTGTGAGGCTGCACTGCTATGCCCCCAGAATCCTGAACAACCTACAGTGATGTTTTGACTTGAAATTTCTTGCACTGAAGCTCATTCCTGTGATAAAAAATGGCCAGTCCCCAGCCAGTTAGCTCAACAAGCCAAGAAATCTTGCCACTTGGTGATTGCAGCCTAGTTACTGCTAGCACAACTCTACACTGTTCTGCTTCCCTAAAAAAATAAATAAAAAAAAATCTCCAAGGCTTGCCACTGTTTGGAAAGAACCTATAATTTTTTTGCACATGTCTAGACTGGTTTACTGCTTTTCAGTGTGACTTCTTGTCATGGTCTCACAGCCAGTATGTACTTTTTGACTGCTGCTGACCAAGGCAGACTCCGAGTAGTCTTCAAAAGCAAAAGAATTTGCCAGCAACTGAGTCAGTTTAAGCTGCCTGCCAGGAATTCGCAGCATGCCATACAATACATTTTTGAGTCACCATCTAAAAACAGCCTTGATGAATAAGTACTCGACAAGAAAATGAGTCTGAAATTCCCAGTTGGTCTTATGCCAGGATTCTGCCATGCTCCCTTTCTCTCCAAAGTCAAGGCACTTAACCTGATCTCGAAATAAATGGCTATTAAAAATGTCATGTTCAACAGGGAGCATGACCAGGGGCCTCACAGTGGACCTTAGTGATACGGCCTCTGTGGAGAGGCACAGGAACCTGATACAACAAGAGACACACACACATACACACATGCAGGGGACTGCAAAAGAAATGAGGGGCTGCCTTGATGTCTGGAGCTATGAGGGTAATGCCCACATCTCTTGCGTTGCAGTCTGATCGAGAACAATTTGCCTATGGAAAACGCGTGCGAATCCTGTAGGAAATAGAAGTTTTGGTGTTTGACTCACCGCTAGGTGTCACGACTTCTTCATTTTTAAGCAGAACGCTGAGTTTTTCTATGCCTAGAGGAAAGAAAAAAGCTGAAGGTGAAGGCAGGAAGCCAGCGTATTAGCCAAATACCTAGGCCGGCTCCAATCTAAATTTTTTTGGTAAAGTCGGGATAGTACATAGCACGTTCAGAAAAAGAAGAGAGAAATCATTTCCATCCCTTTTGCAGATTACTGCTATTCTAGACAATATTGAAACACTAAAAATGAGTCTTGAGTGCAGATAACTATAAAGTGCACCATATTTGGTGCACCACGGAGTTCTCCTTATGTTTGTTTGCTTTACTCTGCCAAAAATCAGCCCTAGACTCTGTAAAGCTACAGGTATATGAAAGTGAAAAAGGTTTTCCCCACATTTATGATGTGACTCTTCTTTTCAGTGTGTCTCAGAACAGCTGATTTTTTTGAAAGTCCATCCCCGTTGATACTGACAAAAGCTGTATATTTTGTGTCTTTGGAGACTGACAAATACACAGACACAAGCCTATGTATATATTTTAATATATATTCACAGGAAAAACATGGGTCAGAAAATGCTACTGCAACTCCCCCTCCCTATGCCACATACTTTTCCTGTGCTGCTATGCTCTCTCCAGGGAGGTTTCACCACCTCCTGCTTTGCTGGTTTTCTATTGAGAGTCAATGCATTGGAAGCGGGCTGGTTTTATGCTCTCTATTGAGATGAGAATCTTATCTCCTTTCTTGCAAGTAGACAAATTGTCATCAGGGTAAGGCTGGAACATACTTGATTTTTAGGTCTGTGGACTGGAGGCAAAAAAAGGAGTGAGGAGCTCTCTCTCCCTCTCAGGGTTTCCACAATCCCCTTCAAGTTGGGATAAAAAACTTAAGAGGTGCAGCCTTGTCAGGAGAAAGACAAGCAAACACTTCATGAGTGCTCTTGCCGATCTTTCTGCATAGTCCACATCATGTTTAATGCACAGGGGTCTGGGGTGGACACGTACCCACCAGTCCAGGAAGGGGCAGGGATCTGATGCGTCAGACTGGATGTTTCTGGGCATTTTTTAGGAACTTGGCAACAAAAGGGGACTGAAGAAGCCGCTCAGTATGGGCAGATGTTTTTTTCCTGTGACCCCTTGTAGAGTACACATTTACTGGATAATGTACAGCTTGTTCTCTGTGCCAAAGGAAAAATCCAAACATTGCTGGCTGCAGTCAGATTTTGTTTGACCTCTTAAGTAGTTTAACATGGTACTGGCCTTCTTTCCCATTTTAGGTCTTTCCCTTTTAGAACAGCAGAAGGGATTTAATGATGCAGTGTCTCAAGCACCTGCAGAATGCCCTGAACTGGAAGTAATGGATTTTTGATAATTGCCTTTAAGATAAAACTTTTTTTTCTCTTTTGGAGACATCCTAGAGAAGCACAGGGAAACCCAGAAGGAAACTTCACAAGTGACTTTTTCTCTTCCAGGTGCAAAGGGTGTTTTTGTTGTAAATGCACTGTGAGTTTCCATCTTCCTATTCTTTAAGTTAGGAATTTGAGAATCAGCATTTGCATGAGAATTTAAGACTATACAGTTTCCTCCATCCCTCAAAGTAAAGCCATGTCACTGGGTGGTCTTGGCACCAAGCTCTCATACAGGGCCAATAAAGGTGATATTTATAAGTACAGAACCTGAGAGATCTGATTCACATTAAAAATGTGTAATTAATCTACTGCATAAATTGATTGATTCATATTCCATATTCTGTGTTGAAGCAACACAGGAGGCTTTCACCCATTAGGATTCAGGGGACATTTTGGATATTTGTTTAAAAGGAACACCATTCCATTTTTTACCTTTTTCATCAGAATTTTCTCTTAACTTGATATTATTCACTTTATATTCCCTTTACTATTAGAGAAAGTTATATATAATTTTCTTACCATTTTTCCAGTTTATTTACCTTGGGCATTTGTCAATATCTTCTGTCTAGTCTGCTTTGCTTTTTTCTTTTTTTTTAAATTGGAAAATGTAATAGCAAAACCACAGAAAAGCAGGGGAATTCAACAGCAGGTGCTGGGACTAAGAATATTTTCCAGTTATTCTCTAAATTAATGGAGTGTATTTAAAACTGCCGGTCTTTAATCTATAGCTTTAGGTTAATAATCACCATACTTAACAAATATAGGGTAAACTGAATGTCAGATATTTCTTATTTATTTATTGGGTTTTGTAGGAAATGGAAATACAATGCCTCTGTTTCTTTTCTGACCCTTCATTTTCATCTCCTGAAGAACTGACACAAAGCTCCATGCCTTCTAGATCAGAAAACCTGCCATTTCTACGACTGTATGCTCCTTCTCTTCCAAATGTATTCTACGTCTGTCTTCTCTGACGCAGATGGGTGGTTTTTGATTCAGTAAATACTTGTTGACTTGCATAAGGACAAATTATTCTGCAGCATTTTCGCTCTACAGAAAATAATGCCTATCTGGTGAGATGATAATCGAAACATCCTCAGGATATCCAGATGCTTTGTTTTAGCCAAAATTATGTCTGAACATCAACTATGAGTAGAAGAAATATGTGTTTTTTCAGGATTTTCACATAAACCAGATTAACTGCTCAGGAAGAAACTCTGGAGATCTGTTAATGTTCCTACAATAGCATTATTAACACTATAAATTGGCTTGATCTGCAATAAATAAATCCTACCAATGCCAGTTCACAAATTATCCCCAAACTAGATTGTAATAGAAGGTTGGGATAGGAATTACCAGAGACATCAGATTAAACACTTGAACAGCAGATGTAGGGGTGGATGAGGCTTGCCAAATCAGAAGCTGTTCTGAGCATATGCAGAAACACGGGTTTAGTACTTGAGAGATCCTTTTTGGCAAAGCTAGAGGATGTGAATGCTTAACAAAGTCAGAGTCCACACCTGGACTTGGCATCTAGAATCTATTTAAATCTCACTTCAGAGCTAAAAAAGGACATTAGGCACTTGAACTGTACTCTTTTATTTGTTTTTTTTTTTTTTTTTTGAAAAACTGTTTTGTAGTGCTCCTCTAGATCTCCTGTCAGAAACTACCTTATAAAAGGTAGGGAGTGTCACTTGTGAGAGGGGTACTATCTGTGACCTACTTCACATCAGTGAAGAAAGGGTAGCTATCCTAGGGACTATGAAGTACTTGTATATTGTGACAAAGGGGATGATGACAAGGACCTCAGACTTACACTTATTCTGCTCTTATTCTCACACAACATAACCTGAAGAGGTGAACTTGAAGAGGAATAGATAAATACCTGGAAGGCAAATAGTAAAGTTTCCTTGTAGCCTTGAAGGGAGACAAGTGCTGATTCTGAATGACAATTTCGACTCCTTAGGAGCAAGTTTGCCGATCTTGTAATAAATGGCTATTCAAAATGTCCTGTTCAATAGGGAGCATGACTCTCTAGTGGAGATACATAGAAGAGGAGATACATAGGCATAGACAGACCAGTTTGTAGATAGAAGTAAAATCATGGTACTTCCTACCATACTATTAGAGTGTCTCCCAGTCCTTGAAAAGTTACACCTTAAAACAACAGACTGTAGGATGAGAGAGCTGTAGTATTCTCATTAGACAGAGAGGGATCTGAAACACTGAGAGATCAAATGACAAAGTGAGAAACATAAGAATATTACTAAATTGTGAGTTGAATATCAGTCCCTGGCAATTTTCAGTAGGCAGCTGGACTTCTCTTCTCTTGCAAACTTTCTTAAGTGCTGAATAGACGTGTGTGTCTCTTCATGAGAGATGGTTGCAAACTGGGAGATTGCTCTGGCTTGTAAAAATTTGACTAACAATATTCACTTGATGCTATGTATTGGTTTTTGGCATATGAACCAATATGTAACCCAAGGACATGGTTAATTACAGTGCCTCTGAAAATAATAAAACTAGTCCGGATTGAATTGTTAGAACAGTGTCCTCTGCATTCATGCTAAAGTCAGAAAATGTCTTTAGGAAGCAAAAGAATGTTGCTAAAAGCTAAAGCAATAAGTGATGTCTTTCAGGGAGCTAAAATAAAACCACTGAAGTAGTTCAGTGACCCCAGCAGCAAGCAGTCAGAGCTATGTCTTGGAGGACCCACTTAACCCTGGAACATGTCACTCCATCGGCATAAGCATCTGTTTCAAAAATGCATGTCATCAAAGAGGCTGCAAAGATGAAATTAGCCAAACACATGCTTCATAAAATATGCACTCAAAGCACGAACCCAAATTGAAAAAGTTCTCACTGTTGCTCTATAATGTACCTTAAATAGCAGCTGTGGAAACTAATTGCATGCAAGTCTTAATGAATGAAATCCAAACTGTTATCTCCAAGCTTTTGACTGAATGCTGCTGGTGGGTCATTCACCAATGATGCTGTTCAGTTTATTGGCCTTTTGATTCCAGACTTGTTTGCCTAAAGCACTCATTTATGACAATGGCCTGATTTTCACAGCAAGTGTTCCCATATGCTCCTAATGTAATTGTAGTTTTCAGTCTCTAAAACAAGCCTGCTTTTTTGAGTGGTTAAAGATGGCTTTTAGTTGTGTAACTTTCAAGCATCCCATATGATGAAAGATTTAGTCCAAGTGGAGAAAATTACAGCAGATCTCAGGCAGTTACTAAGTCCTGCCAAACCCCAGAGGACAGCTTATTCATCAGATTTTATATACTGAAAATTGTGTCTTTGCTATCTGGGAGTTGCATAGTCAGTTAGAAATCTTGTCAGGCATGAATACTGCAAGCAGCACTGAAAACAACTTTAGATTATTTTGGGTTTTATTTTTGTTGTTGTTGTTTTGGGTTTTTTTGTTTGGTTTTTTTGTTTGTTTGGTTTGTGTTGTTTTTTTTTTCAAATGGCGTGTCTCCAACCATGGACTAAATGTGCTGGGCAGCCCTAATGTGGACTGGTGTCCCTGATGACCACGGAAACTGCTGATACCAAAGCAGAGCACATTTTGGGCCTCATAGAGAGATGATCTGTTGAATGGTAATCTGCTGACCAATGTGAGCACTGAGTAACTTGGTCTTGATTAACATTTTGCCAGTCAGTGTTAACTGGTGAAACTTTAGTTCTGCTTCATTTTGGGCATGCTTTTCTTGCTTTGATTTGATGTCTTGGCTTTGTAGAGTCGTCTTGTCATGTTAATGAAACGGTATTCAGGGAATTCAAGTGGTGTACACATTATTTGAGATTTCTATGGTAAATAGGTATAAATTTCAACCTGATGCCTTGCCCTTGACCCGGAATTTTTCTTTGCACTTTTTCTTCCTCCTTTTGTCAAGGAGGGCAAGATAGGTGTTCTGGTATCTAATTTTTAAAAATAGTCATTGGATTGACCTCTCTAGGATCAAGCTATCAAGATAATGAAGTGCCTAATGGAGATCCATTCAGGAATAAGTAGCAAAGATGGGACTTCAGATTGTTTTCAGACTTTTTTGGAGAGCGTGCCTTTGCCAAGCTGTCAGAGTTTGTGCACACTGAGCTTACTGTGGAGGGAACAGCTTCTATATAGCCTGAGAGAAATGGCATTTTAAAAATACCATCTCTAATTTATTGGGATATCTGAGGCATATACTCAGAAATGTCACTTCGGTGCTGGTGTCACAGTTCTGGGATACAAGCTGCTGTTACTGCCAATTTGCCCCAATCAGATAAACTTTCTAGCCATTTTTGCTCATCACAGTTAGTACAGGTTAGTTAGTACCTTCTCACAGCTGCTTCTGGACTGAGCAATAGGCCACCAAAATCCTGCATACAATCTCCCAACTTTCTGGAACAGGAGCTGAAACGTGGCTAGCTCTGCTTCATGTATTTGACAGAAATCATGTGTTCTGTCCCTTAAAATAACACTGTATGATTCAATATATGGTTTTGATGCCACTGGGGGAAGCCAAAGGGAAAGGAAGTGTACTCTTTTCACAGAAACACAAGGACTTTGCAATTCCCCCCCTTTATGAAAATGAGGTCAAAGAGATATAGTGTCAGTGAAGAAGAGCAGAAGCTCTCTTGAATCCACTGGGTTAGTACCCACTGCCAGCAATGATTCAAATCCCAAATATTTCACTATTTTAAGTAGACTGAAGTTCCTAAAAGCCCCCAACAGTACTGTTATGGATAAATGCCTAGTATTAAAATCCAGAAATCAATAATATGCAAGAAATAGGATGTAAGGGAAGTACTACATGCTTTCCTTATAATTTACCTGCACTATCTTTATGACGATTAGGCATCCTTTCTCTGAGGGCCAACTGGGTCATATGAGGTAAACCATGTATTGAGCAGATTTTTCTCGCCAGACATTGGCAGCAAAAATTGAATCTGACATCTTTTACTAGACATTAGTCTCTGGTTCTCTGGCTCTGGCTCACAAATGTGTTGCCAAGAAGCTTTGCCATTCTTTTATAACTAGTGTTATTCAAAGTTATAATTTATTTGAGCTCCTGCACTCTTCTTGTCTTGACTGGAATAAAATAAAATCCAGAGACATCCAATTCTGTTTATGATCAAGAAAAATACTGTCAATGTAGAGAGGTAGAGAGGGCAGAATACCTAGAAATAACAGGAGGAAGTTTTAGGAAATTAAATTTATGTAAATAGGTAACACAGGAGTCTTTTTGAAAAGGTCTCTTTAAAATCAGGGATCTCATACCCTTGAAAGGGCAGAACAAATGTGATATTAATATGACAAATACACTTAATAATGAAGCAGCTTTGGTTTTTAAATCTGTGCTTGAACATATTCTGTGTGCAGTCAACTTCATTAATGGTTTGTGTATACAGATTGAAAGGTGAGGGTTTACTGGAAACATGTGTTTCTGCAAAAATTAGTTCAATACTGATTTAAAAATCTCGGTATCCTGACCTTTACCTGGTCCCTCAATGAAAGTAGATTTAAAACCTAGAAAACTTGTCTTTTATCTAGTTTGGTTATTAGTGAATGTTATTCTCATTTTCCTTTTGGTGGTATTATTAAAAAAATTGACATACCTTATTAATCATTATTCCTAGTTGTAGGTCTACTTTTCAGCTCACTCTTGATCATCAGATGCATGATTCTAAGGCAGTTTTCAATACCAATTTTGCACATTGCTGTTCATGTGATTCTGTCTATCCCTAATCCTTCTAGTCAATCTAGAATTGGTAACTTCTCCAGACTATGCAGAAGATGGACTAAAAGCATGGCACAGACAAGTGCTCTACTTACATTTGTTCCGGGTATTTTCAAGTATCATTGGACACAATCACTAAAAGGCAGTTCTTCGAATTCAGGTTTCTCTGCATTTCAGTCAAAATGCCTTGACTATTACAAACTCTTTTTCTGCCTCAATCTCCAAAATGTGAAAAGTCTTTGCAAAGAGCAGACGTACGTTGTTCTCCACAGTGCACTGTAGCAAGAAAAAAATACAGAGATTCAGAGAAGACACTGAAAAACTTTTCAAAGCATCAAGTTATTTCAGCCTGGAATACACGACACTGGAAAGCAACAGTTTCCATGGCATATTTTTAGTACAAGCTGGATTTTTTTCTATCAGCCATAGCTAGAAGTATGGTACAATACAGTGCACTACCGTGTACTTCATCATGCCCTTGGTAAAGGGTAGACTAAGCAACCTTCTACAGTCCTTTTCTTTTAATATGAGTGTGGAACTGCAAGGACAAAGAATGTCTACATATTGTACATATTGTACCTCAATCTTTTGGTACAGGTTTGAAAATGTTGCCATACTGCCCCACTAGGAAGTGGAGATCACTCAGTTTCATAGACATTTCTATCTGTATTCAAGGATTCCTTTAACAAGTACTAAATGTTGAAAAGAATTCTGTTACCTAGGACAAAGTAAGGTAGACATTGATCAGACATTGTTATTATTCCAAGGATTTAGGGTGAGACTACTGACTCAAACCAAATGCTATCTATGTGACATTTTAATTACAGGATAATTTCATACACTAACAACATGCCCAGCATGCAGTTTTTGATTCTTAATCCCTAACACCTAAACCCAGTTTTTGATAGGCCTAATCATGGAAAATTAGAGGAACATCAATGAAGTCATATATCCAGACAAGAATTATGCTCAATAAAAGATTGCAGAGTGAGGTCTATAAATCTTCACCTAACATACTTTCTGTATACAAATCGGAGGGGAAAAAAGGAACATACAGCTCTTCACTAATGCCGCTGACATTATTTGTGGGTATCATGGTTAATACATGCCCTACTTGTTCTAAAGCTTTGGAGGAAGAGATTAACAACAAGTTTATGTCATGCCTCAATACGAATCTAGAGAAACTTTGCTGAACTTAATTGTGTGTGACAGACTAAATTTGGTACAAAATCAAACTTTGGCCTAGTATCTGCACTAAAAATATAGCTGTAGAGGGAAAAATGGGACATTTTTAACAACTTAACATTTATTGGACAAGGAGAGGTCTGAAGAGTGCAGAATGGAAAATGGCAAACGTCTTTCACAAAAATAAGAATTGTCCCTCCTGCACAGGCCTGGATAGTTTGCATGTGTGGTACAAAAATGTGTAATGGAAACCTGGGAAACAAAGGCGGCTTTTCAGGCTGAGGATTCCAGCTGTTCGCAGACTGTGGAAGAGAAAACAGACTTTATTCAATGTCTGCAGATGTTTCCAAACTTTCATAGTTCTAAAATTTAAATTCAGTTACCTAATCAATATTAAAGATCTGAGGGAAAATATGCTGCCCATTGGATACGGTTTAGGTGGGGAGGAAAACAAAGGATTCAAACATTCTCAGGCACAAAGATCTGGTGGCTCAGAGGCAGCAGCAGATGAAAACAATGACTGGAGACAGCCCGTGCTGGAATGATAAATGAACATTCATTTCTCAGCTACACTGATGCAACTTCACTGGCTTTACTGGAGTGTGGTGTAGCTCGAGTGTAGTCTACCTACTAGGCCTGATCAACTGTAAATAAGGACAAAACCCAACTTTAGTGGGGCTAGGATGTAATTCTATATCTACAGGATTCACAGATGACCAAATACCATCAGCAGTGTGTTTTACAAATTTGACAACAGATTATATAAAGCCTGAGATGAAAACATGGATTTTCTGATGTCCTCAGACAGGCATTAACTTCGGCATTTTACAGGCATTTTACATTAACGTCACATTTTCATATAGTATCAACAACACAAACTGTTGTTTTACTGACAAAGCACACACAGAAGGAGTGAGGTCTCTTTTCATCAGTCAAATAGATGCATTTTTGGCTGGTGTGTGCAAGATCCGTCTGCCACATATCTGATTTCTGCATGTCATCTTCTGCAGTGTCTGTGCTGAAAATTGTTATCACTGTTCCCCAAAAATTAATTTGATTCTTGAAACACTCCATTTTATGAAAATTTATCAAGCAAATCCCTTTACTAAATTATTCCAAGGGCAGATGATGGTCCAGTATTAAAACGGACCTAAATATATCTCACCTCCACCCTAACACACTAGGCTGTGTTATGGGATAGAGAAAATTCTTCCCTCACTACCATCTCACATGATGACATCAGATCACAGATGACGATAAAAAGATGAGAACTAGTGCCCTTAGCAATTTCTGAGATTTTTGGTTGCTACTATTATGGAAACTAAAGATAATTAAGATTCATGACTTCTGTAAAGGACCAAGCACTGTATGAGTTAAAGCCTCTGGATAAGAGCAGTCCAGGTAAATAGCTGTTCTTTGGAAAACCAAATACATACAAGAATGAATCCCAAAGTTTTAGTATAATCTAAATGAGGTGGTTCAGCAAAGCAATACAGGCTTACTTGGTCTATTCTTATACATAGTTTAATTTAAAGGTTTCTAATTTTCTTCAGATGTCTAAGAAAAATGAGTTCAATTCACCCATATCTCCATTCAGGATTCAAATCAATACTATCTTGCTGAAGACCAGACTTTGGGAAATATATTTGTTAGAAAATAACAGAGAAAAAAATGACAATGCTAAAGTGTGCTGCTGGGGATCCAGGGACGAGGAGAGAAATCAGAGCATGCTCTTCTGTATACATGGACAGGTAGATAGTTTTATGTGCCTAGGTTTTAATGATCTTTCTCCCCCATCACTGTATAAGAGGGGAGTGAAGTAGGGTAAATTTACATTTACACTCTGTCCAGGATTCCTTTAGAAATCTCAAGCTGCTAAGCCTGTGAGAAACAAGCTTCAGCTTCAAATGTGTTAGAAAAAGTTCTGTATTATAACTGGACAAAACCCAAAGCTTTAAGGCTTTCTGGAGAAGAAATTTTTTTTTCTCTGTGTTTGTATCAAACCTAGTGTGTCCTTAAGTGGCACTTACTTTTCCTAATAACAAACATGGAAACATTTAACCAACCTGAACCCAAATCCTGAATTACACCACACCAGTCCAAGAACTCTTCCCACAATTCTGCCTGTGTGCATGTATGTGTTACTCTCTAAATAAAAGTTACACTCAATTTTGTATTTTTTAGAGCAATCAATAAGAAAACCACAATAAAATCCTTGTCCTGCAGATGTCATAAATGGCTTTGTACTGCACGTGACCCTATGACTGAATAACCTCTGTCCTGCTGCCAAAAACATCTGATGAGTAATTTTCTTTCCTTTTAGCAGAATCCTTATTGATGAAGGTAGCCAGGAACTGAAAATCCTGCTGTGGTTAAGACAGCAACATACTTTGCTTATTGTATCCTTCCAGATCTTTGAAACATGTTGATTTGTTTCTCACCTCAAATGGCCCATCTTAACATCTCATCTTCTGACACATTCTCCAATTTCTATGCATTTTTGGGTCATTGTTTAATATCTTTTTGTAGTGTGACTAGCTCAAAACCTTTCCTTCCTCACAAATCTAAATTTTCTTAGTGCTTCACTGTCCAGGGTTGGCACAATTATTTCAAATGATCTGGTTTTCAGATGATTCCCAGATCATTCCCAGACTGTGAGACAGCCTGTTTATGTGATGGAAAGTACCAGAGGTAACCTTACACTGATAGGCTAATTGTTTACATGAGTGAAAAAAAAATCAAAATAATTTGACTTTCATACTTTCATGTTCCTATGCTTCTGTCTGATTGTATCATCCTTGGTTTCCTGTTCTGAGCATCACTCTGTCAAGTTCACTTCTTCTGCTTCACCTCTTCACTCTGGTGTATATTCCCTGTACAGACTACCGTACTTTCTTGAAGATCTCTGGCTTTCTAAATAAGGAGCTAAGCAGTTGGCTTACTCAATATTCTTGTGGACAAGACAGGACAATTAGAATTAGTAGGCTGATGACACTGAATGGAGAGTGAACTGATGCAAGCAAAAAAAAAAAAAAAAAGGAACTGAATCATGGTAGGAAGCTAAGGGATACAGTATTTTTGCAGCAAGGAGCAAGAAGTCATTATTAGCCAGCCAGCCAAAAATCTTGTACCTGCTGGTGCCCTGGTCCCTTTATTAGATATTACAGCTTTCTCTCTCTCATCCTTTGTCTTCAAGACTATTAAGATCTGTGAGAGAGGAACAATTGCTCTACTTGTGAAAAGCACCTTTTTACGCTGCTATGATATTTTGCCCAGAATGTTGGGCTCTGACAATATTACTGTTTAAGTGAACTGGGAATCTCCCACTAGTGTTGACTGAAGTTTTTGTTGCTGGGTGTCTGTTCCTTTGTAGTCTGGCATGCACATTTCAGTCTTCACCTGGAACTGTTCCTTTCTTCTTTTCCTACTTCTTATTCTCAGAGCTAAATTTAGTTTCTCCTGCAGTTTCTTTCCTGAAACTAAAGTGGCTACTTTCTCATTTAATTTGTCACTCATAGTTTATGGAGTTGGTAAGAAGCCTCTAGGGAATGAGGAACTGCAGAAGAGGTTGAGAAAGATAAAGCTAGACAATAGAAATAGCAGGGAAACCTATCCTGCAGTGGACAAAATGAGTGTCAATGGAAATTCTATATTAAATGTACATTTCTGGGAATCTTTAGAAACAAAACCAGAATTGACACTGCACAAACTCTTTTATAAAGCAAATTAGGATATTTTAAGGAGTTTGTCCAAAACCCACTGTTGACATTCATTTTATATGTTTTTCTGTGTGGACTCAACCATTGGAAATCTTTCTTTGGTTTGCATTTTAACTTATTTTTTAGCACTCACGTAATTTTAGACCATGCTTTATAAGTTAAGTGCTGAAAAAGCGGAGGAAACAAAGTTGTCTTGGGGTGGGGGGAAGAACCATTTCAGATCTGATCAAAGGTTCTAACCCAGCTGGCTTCAGCCCTGCAGTGCCCTCTGCATTAATCAGCTTCTCTGTGGGAAGAGGAGAGAGAAAAGAAAAGGAGA